TTCAAATTTCGAACATGGTTCGATGTCCCCCGGTGTCCTCTCTTGAATAGCGAAAACCGCAGGTCTCTACAATGTTCCTATGAAAAGTTATTCAAAAAACAGTGGAGGACATTATATTTTGAAACGGATAATAGATTTCAATTCACTGCTTTTGATTGGATCAGTTATCGATGTCTTCTTCATCAACAGGCAACCAAGACGACAATATTAATGAAGCCAATGGTTTCTCACAAACACTACACCCACTTACATCATCGGTAACGGAAGTACAAATACCAACATTAGAACAACAACGTTACCAAACGGCATTTCATGAGGAAAACATGATTGATCAAATCGATGCAATTATTCGTCGTTTGTTGACAAGTCCAAATCATCAGTCTTCCTATCAATTCGTCTTTCGATGGACTGTTGCTGAAGAGCTCAGTCTCAATTATAGTGTGGCATTGAGTATTCATGAGACAACATTTCCTATAATAAAATACATTGGGACGATGTCCAACATAGCATTCAATAAAAAACCAAGACTTTTCTTACTGCCTATGAGCATTAATTTCTGATTTCTTTTCAGATATCATTATTTGTTGTCGATAAACTAATACCACTTGCACCTGAATCCTAGATTTTCACAGAAAAAAACCTAAACCACAGAATAAGCAGAGTGTCATACAATTCACTGCATATTTCAATAATTTTTCATGAACTTTGTAGCTTTATCATTCAGTTATGTCATCTGAACAATAACCGTCATCACGTCGCAAATATTACATGCAAGAAGAACAAGAACCTCTATATTACGTTCGTCAATATCGTTCTCAACAAAAAACACAAGGTATCTCAACTCCATTTTTCTTTCTTTTGTATATAACATATCAGTACCACTCATATCTAGATCAAAAATCGGCAATTCTTCCTTCTCAAGACATTAAAACTACGAATGCACCAAAAGTTATTCAACTTTCAAAAAATGATAAAATTCACACATTCTTGTGAATGGGACCCTCCTTTGTTGTTGACTTTATAACTTTCTCCTGATTTAAAATTTAATTTAATTCTATGTAGTACCTCCTAATTCCAAATTTACCTGATGAGTCCCTTAAGCAAGGACGAAACCGGTCGTAAGTAGCTTGGAATTACTTTTATAAACACATCCACACCCACACCCCACACCCACACCCTCAAAATGAAAAATTCATTTTGAGTATGAACACAAATCAATAGGGATTTGTTATTACAATTTTTGTAGAGCTTTTCACGGCGCATCTTTTAAGAAAAAATTCAAGATTTAATCATCCATCTAAGCCGAGATATAGACATTTTGACAGACCCAGAATACAGGAAAATTTCGAAAATAGTACATGACAGTGTTGTTCTAGGCTCTCATCCATAGTACAAGCTGTAGACCTGAAACTTTGCAGCTATGTAGTACCACATATGTACAACAATCTACCAAAGTTTCAGCGAATTTGCTTTTGTAGAATGCGAGAACGGTGAATTCTTAAAATCGTTTCAGAACTTCTGG